AGTTTATTTTAGTTTTGTCATTTAATTTTCGAAAAATTTAAAAATCCAAAAAGATTTTGTTTTGCTTTTGTTCTGTCTCTATTTTCGAAAAATCAAAACAACAAAAATATTTTGTTTCTTATTTCTTTTTAGTATTTCTTTTCTAGGGTCAGGTACATTTTTCGCACGAATCAATAAATTTTCAATATTTTGAACTAGTTAAGTTGTCCCTAGAAGCATGTTGTTGCATGTTGTCCAAAGCCTCCAATGACTCAATGTGTGTGTACGAAAGCCTTAATGAAATTATTCATATGAAAATTTCTTCCCAATAAGGCTTATATTCACATTAGTCTCTGAGCTACCTGACTCTTCTCCAAATGAGTTAAGAGTTTACTGTTTTGTCCAAAAATAACAGAGGTACCTTTCGTGTCTTACATCAATCTTTTTCACCTATAAAGTTCTTACACGATCACACACGAAGACATATGTCCGAGAGGTCTCTGATCAAACCCATCGAGACTTAGATATATCATAAATCTGTGTTTATGATCTGACATCGTGAGACCGTGATGAAAGTGAAACCCAATTTTCTAAACTTTTAAGGAATTGACGGGGAACTACGTTCTAGATTTTCATGAAATATTTGGTTCAGTACCAAAATTCGAAACTCCAAATCATATTCATTTCGTATGAGTGGTCTTGATCAAACATTCGAAACCCATGATGTTTGTTACCCAACAAGATCCAGCACAAATTTTTTTCTTGAATATGATTTCCGTGAGAGTTTCATTCGAACTTCAATGTCACTTCAAATTTATCAAAACAAACTTGTCCCTGACTACACTGGTCAAACAAGTAATTTCTGTTACAATTTTTCACCTTATGTTTAGGATGACATGTAACGAAATTTTTTGACTACCCACGAAGCATTATAAAAGAAGCCCTTTGATACTTATTTACAAGTATTCGAATGTATTTCACGGGAACCTACACAAGCTGTTGATCATTTCTCTTAATGATTAATGAAGCAATCTTTGCCCGGGATTTTATCTGCCTTTGTGTCAAATTAATATTTTGACATCACAGTATCCCAAATTTTTCTTATCTTTGTTCGTCTAAATTCTTTGGAACACTGCACTCACAAAATCCTTGAGGTTCTGAGTAATACCAACTCAGGCTGATGATTTCAAACATCTGACATATGACTTCGCTTTTCATCCCAAAAGCGAAAGAGCCTTGCTTCCATACGAAGGGTTCTGACGCTTACAATCTTCTTGGGGATAACAATACAGGTTGTTTTTTAATGACGTATGGTATTCTGTCCGGATTTCAAGGTGATGTGACAGATACTTTTTGACGCATGGCTACTTTTACACAGTAATGGTCCGATTTTCAAGGTGCCACGTCAGATATCATTAAATATACCTCCCGCTTCAAATTCAAACTTCAGGGTTACATATAAAAAGGGATTCAAGGGTTCATTATCAATTTACGCGATCAAAAAGAAATATTCCCAAATTCTCTGATCTTCAAAGTTTTCAAACCCTAACAATGGCGACTTCTGTTCATGTTGATGCTGATCCTTCTCATACCACTGAAGATGTCTCTTCATTGCCAATTATGAAGATTCAAGCAACTAACTATTACTTGGAGGGTGATATCTCTAAATACCCGGAAGAATTGAAGATGTTAATCGTTGCGTTGAAGAGCTCTGTTTTGTCTAAGGCGATGTTCAGTTCATTCTCTGTTCCAATGTCATGGCTTTCTCAAGCCGGATCAACTGCTACTTACAATAAAGCTTCTGATACAATTACTTTCCATCTGGTGAATGACAAAAAGGTCAGATTATCAAAGAAACTCTTTTGCCAAATTCTTGAAATGCCGAATTCACCTCCGTATGTTGCTTTCACATTTCCTCAAATCGTTCATATGTTTAATGAGATGGGATATCAGCCTCAACTATCCAAGATCAGTGATTTTAAGAAATCTGGTCTTCCACGTATCTCGAATTTCTTATTTGGTATTTTTCTGAGATGTTTAACTGGGAGAACAGTTGGTCTTGATAAAGGAAGAATGGAAGTATATGCCATGGTTGCTGGGCTATACTATGATCTTCAAGTTGATTATTCTACACAATTGTGGAAGGAATTCCAAAAGAGTGTAGAACACACGAATGCTCTTCATGGTATTTCGTGCGCACGATACTGGAGCTTGATTTTGCAATATTTTTACAACAAGGAAGGGATTTTGGTACCCAATGATCAGGAAAAAGCTATTTTTCAATCGTACCACTATCCGAAGGATCTTACAGATAGTCCTGAGGCTTTTCCATCCGTTGCTCGTATTCCTGATGCAATGCTCAAAAGAGTTGATCCTTCGAATTCTGTTTTAGTGGCATATTTGAAGACTATTGATTCTACTGTCGAAACTGGGAAACTATTGAGGGAAGATAAGAAATCCAAGCGGTCAAAGAAGACTGAAACTACTTCTCATGAAGACAAAATCACAGAGTTGACATCTTCAAATCTCCAAAGAAGAAGCCTCTAACAGTTGAAGTGTCAGTTGCTGAGACACAATTGATTGAGCCTGTTGTTGAAGAAACTCAAGAGCAAGTGATCATTCCTTCGAAGACCGGTATGTTTCGAAGAATCAAAATGAAGTCAACACATAAAAGAAAGTCTTCAACACATAAAGTGGTCCGAAAACCTCAAATCACTCATCAAGGTGTTTTAATTCGAGAAGTGCCAGCACCTGTTTCTCCGGTGTCTAAGAAACGAATGGCTGAGGATATGGCCAAACATCTGTCGAAGAAGAAGAAGAAGAAGACACGAAAGCTTATGCTTTCTACTGAGTCTACAGAAGATGACGATGAAAGAATTCCTGAAACACCAGAAGTAACTCTTCACGCAGAAAGTTCAACTCCTGAGTAGACAATAGTCATACCACCCGAAGATTCGGTTGCCAAATCAGTTTTTGAGGAGGTACGAACTTCAGTCATCCCTGCAAACGTATCTGATACGGATGCAAATGTCAATATGGGTGAAGGAGATTCGAAGAATGAAGATCAATGACATCCAACTTCTTTAGCTTTCGAACATATTGTTTCTTTACCTCCACCAATTATTCCAATTACTTCAACCACTGATTCCCCAACATTTGAAAACATTATCAATCTACCCTTTACTTCTATTTTTTCTTCTCAATCCACTGATACACCCAAACCTACTTCAACCGTTTTTATGGAAACAGAAACTGAAAATGAGGGTTTTGGAGGTACGTTTGAAGAATTAGAGTTTCATGAAGAAGAAGAGGATTTTCCAGATCATATGCTGATGACAATGAAGCAATTTAAAATTTTGAATCAGAAGTTGAATTCTATAATTCAATCTCAAGCTAATCTGGGGGGGTGGTTCGTCTGTTTCAAGTTTAGAGGTTGATACTTTGTTGAAAATGTTTGAAGCCAGAGTCGTAAGTAAAGTATCTGGGATGATTACAGACTCAGCATCACGAATTTTGGAGAAGGTTGATCATAGTGATCAAAACAATGAACTACGAATTAATTCTTAAAATTCAAAGTTTGTCGGAGATATGAAAGAATTAAAGAATGCAACAAAGTAAAGGCATGTTCTCTTTATTCAAGACGTAAAGAAAGTCAGGGAGGATGTCAATTTGTAGATTCGTGAACTTCGCGAAGATATGCAAAAAGAGATTGCAAATGTTCAAAAGGATTATGCATCTCTGAATCAGAAGATTGATATTATTTGTGACGCTGTCACGAGATTTGTCAAATTGTATGAAAGTTTGAGTCCTCAGCTTACTCAACTTTCAACAAACGAAAGTGCCAATTTTTGGAAGTGATTACTTTGCGAAAGGAATTAAAAGACCTATCTGCCCTGCCGGTTTCTTCTTCCTTGATTACTCCTGAATTTTTATCTCAAAAGTACCTACAATTCGAAGCAATTCTCAACAAGAAACTTCCTCCTCTATCTCGCATTTCAAGCGTTCTTCCAACAACAAATGCCCCTCCTATTTTCACAGAGGTGCAAGGGGGAGAAAGAAAAACTGGTGATTCGAAGGCTAGTGGTGATGATGCGAAGGTTATAGGAAATATGTTTTCTTCAAAGATCCCAACAACAAAGCCAGTTATAGCATCTGCTGGGCTGATTACTTCAACAGTCATAACAACAATGCCAACTACAAGACCAATTTCGAAAGGAATTGTGATTGGTCAACCTACTAATACTGTTGGGAGTAGTTCGAAAACAATGGAGGTGAAAGATGATTCAGTCTTGAAAGATAAAGGGAAAACAATTGTGGTGGAAAAATCGAAAGAAGAAAGGAAAGTTGAAGCAGAAGCTGAAATTGAAAAGCTAAGGTTGATTCAAAGCATAATGACTCAGCGTGCAAGTGATCCGAAGGGTATGGACAAGGGTGATCCGTCCAAACACTACAATTATGAAACAATTGAGGCCAAGGTAGCTTTTAATCATATGTATTCGTTTGAGAAGAAACCAAAACAAAGTTATATGGTTACGAATACTGATTCAAGTCAGCTGGACTTTCCTATAAATGAAATGATGTTCATCATGCCTCAATTTAAAGCAGAAGGAAATTTCAAAGAAAAGGATGATGGTACACACATGAAAATTCGATTTCATGCTGTTCTTGCAAAAGCCCCTGAGGAAGTTTGGTCATTGATAAAGATCAAGAAAGTGATCAGTATGAAAAAGGATGTGGTGTTCGAAAACACAGTCCAAAATTTCAAGTATGTGGTTGCCAGGGCAAATGGAAATATTTGCGAATTTACAATTGCAGATTTTCCATTAATGAACTTGTATGATCTTATACAAGTTGCATTGATTCTGAAAGACAAATCGTTTTCATATCTTCAAAACACGGAACCTGATGAATTCAAGCTTGGGGTTGCTCACATCAAGATTTTCATCGAAAATTATTATGAGTGCTTGGCTCTAACAGATGTGGAGTTAGCTACGGCTAAAGGTATGGAAATTAAAGCTCCAATGGCTCCTACGAAGACTCAGGCAGAATTGAAGAAGTATGCTGATGGTGAAATCTGCTTGAAGTCTTTTGGGATGGTCTTTGCAGGAAAAGACAAGGCTGGAAAAGCAAAACGTTTCTTATTCCAGGCATGCGAAGTGGAAAGGTATTCAACGTCTCAATATACGAACTTAATTGTTCGTATGAATCATTATAAGAAGAACAATGAAGGAGATAAGAAAGAGTTAAAGAAGATTATTTCCAGGTACACGGAAATTCGAAGAGTGATGCTGTATTCCTTCCAGCTTCTTACGAATTAAGATTTTTGACTATGATTACAAAGGGGGAGATTGTAAGGGTTAAAATGTTGTAATTAGTCGAAATGTATTTTGCACTCTTCGAATGTTTTGTAATCTATTTTACTAAGGTGCTTTTATTCGAAGCTTAAGTGTCTATGCCTTAGTATATTTTTTGTACGCTTTCTGTTTCCTATAAATAGGGATATTTACTAGAGTTAGATAAGAGTTTTTACAGACCTGTCTTTGTACTCTGTAAACATTCGAAAGCGTAATAGAGCTGAAACAAGATTATATTTACATCCGGTGTTCAATTTCGCATTTTTACTTGATTCTATACTCTGATTCATTTTATACTCGATTCTTTGATTCTTCAGACACCATGGCACAATCTGTTGATGCAATGCATGCTGCCATTAGGGCTTTTGCCGAGACAGACTTCGCGTCCTACCTTCGTTTGGGTGAGCTCGGCCTTGCTGATCTTCGCCAATTGTGCACTGAGGAGGAGGAACACGTGCCAGACGATGGCGTTTGGGGCACTGCTTTGACCCAACCTCGCTGGGGTTAATTCTCATTTTATTTTTGTATGTTTGTTGTTTTATTTCTCATTTTTTGTATGTACTTTGTAGAATTTTGTTGTATTCGCCCTTGTTGGATCTTCATCATTAATGTTTTCCCGTTCTTACGAGCTTCCCTAATATATACATATATATATATATATACATATATATATATATATATATATATATATATATATATATATATGTGTGTGTGTGTGTGTGTGTGTGTGTGTGTTTGGGGAGGGGTCTCCCCGAAGAGTATTTTGTAGGCCTTGCTTTTGGCTCCTAACTGAGTGGCCAGTTGCCTCTCTTTTGTGGTCGCTTAAGTTGAGCCGAGGTCATCACCTCGAGGCTCCCTGAACTCGTATGTGCTAAATTTTCAGGGGAAGGTTATGATCCTTCAGACCCTTTGGGCACGTTTGGTTTGAAAGCCTAGAGGCTTTATTGCTTGTTTAAACCGACATATATGTAAATGGATTATCTCTTTACGAGATTTGTGGTTGCATGTTGATGGGTCGTTTTGCTCAAACAATGTGGGTGATCAGCCCGTGTTCTCGTCTGGCAAGCCCGTGCACCCCTCCCCCCCTTTGTTCTTTGTGTTTGTATTTATGCTTTACATACACGTGTGCGTATATTGACTAGTAAGTTTAGTCTATTATCTTGTGAAACTTTATTAATCAAAAAGTTCTAAGGGCAACTTAAACATCTTCATGTAAACCGTTTGACCAAAGTGTGGCTTTTAGGTCGGAGGTCCGAGCGTCACTACCCCCTCCTTTGGTTATGCCCTTTTCCGGTTGTTTTTACGAATAAAAGTGGTGCAGGTTGCGTGCGGGGTATCGGTCTCCCGCCTTTTGCTTCTAGTGAGTATGCTCCGTCCCGATGCGCCCCCACTATTTTGTAGGGTCCTTCCCAGGTTACACTTAGCTTCCCCAGTGGCTTCGAGTGGCTAGCCTCGTTCTTCCTCAACATCCATTCTCCTACCTTGAAGTTCTTTATGCGTACCCGTTTGTTGTAAAAGTTTTATGTATGAGATTTGTAGGTTGCTTGTCGCAGTCGGGCAGCTTGGCGTTTGTCGTCCAACATGTCAAGGTCTTATCGTCGCTCATCATCGTTCAGGCCTTTATCGAAGCTGGTTACCCGTAATGATTCACTTAGAATCTCAAGTGGGAGCACTGCTTCCATGTCGTATGTTAGGCCGAAGGGCCTCTCTCCTGTCCCTGTTCTCGCGGTAGTGCGGTATGACCACAGTACTGTTGGCAGCTCTTCTGTACAGGCCCTTTTTATTTTCATCGGGCGTTTCTTGAGCCCATTCACGATGGTCCTGTTTGATACTCCAGTCTGGCCGTTTGCCTGGGGGTGTGCAAACAAGGTAAAGCGACGATGGATCCGCTTTTCCTTGCACCATTCACTGAAAGGGCTTCCCTCGAACTATGTGTCATTCTCGCTTATCAGGACCTTAGGCTGCTAAACCGGATTAGGATGTTTTTCCACAAGAATCGGATCATCTGCCTGCCCGTGACCGTGGCTAGGGGTTCTGTATCGATCCACTTTGTGAAGTAGTCAACTACGACCAACAGGAACTTTAATCCCGCTGGAGTCGTTGGGAATGGTCCTACGATGTCGATGCCTCATTGGTAGAAAGGCTATGGTTGTTGCAGGATGATTCTCGAATGGGGCGAACGTCTGGCATTTCGGGCATTTCCTTGTGACCCTCGCCGCGTCTTTGTACACGTTGGGCCAATATAGCCCTAAACGTAGTATCTTGCCCATGAGTGCTCGTGCTCCCTCATGTGCTTCGACTTCACCCGAGTGTCTTGGAGGACTTGGCCTTCCTCGTGCGATATGCATCTGAGCCAAGGCGCTAGGTAGCCTCTCTTGTACAGTTGCATACCTTTTACAAAAAATTGGGGGTCCTTGATTTTTATCTGCTTGGCCTCTTCCGGATCATCCAGAAGGACCCCATGATGCAAATAGTCTAGGTATGGCTTGGTCCAGTCCGACGATTCTGCAATGGCATCGACTTGCTTGTTGTCGATGCTTCTTTCTCCGAGAACCTCTACTGGTACCTTCTTGGTTAAGTTGTCAAAGGACATCGATGCCAACTTCCTAAGAGCGTTGGCCCTTGTATTGTCCCCCTGGGTATTTGTTTGATTTCGAAGCTATTGAACGAATGCATCAACTGTCGCAACTTTTCCAGACATTTTTGCGTTCTTCGATCTTTGGCTTCTTACGTGCCATTAACCTGGTTGGTTATCAACAGCGAATCACTAAAAACCCAGAGATGTGTTGTGCCGACTTCTTGTGCCAATCGGAGGCCTGCAAGAAGTTGCTCGTCCTCCACCGCGTTGTTCGAAACTTGAAAGTCGAATCTCAAGGCGTATGTGATTTCATCTCCCTTAGGGTTATTGAGGATAAGGCCTGCACCCGAGCCCTCCTTACTTGCTGCGCCGTTAGTGTGTTGTTCCCATATTTATTTGCTTGCGTCGGGCTCTAGCGGATCAGCTGGTAAGGCTCTTGGTATTCCTCTAAGTGTGTCTGGTATTTCTACCAAAAAGTCTGCTAGTGCTTGCGCCTTGATACTATTCCAGGGCGGTAATCTATATCGTGCTCCCCTAGCTCTATCACCCATTTCGCTAATCGTCCTAACTTTTCGGGCCTTAACATGACATGTTTTATTGGGAAGCTGGTTAGCACTTCGATTTTATGTGCTTGAAAATAGCGTTGCAGGCATCTGGCCGTGTAGATTAGGGCCAACAACAGTTTTTACAGGACTGGATAGTTGATTTTGAAGCCTTGTAATGCCCTGCTTACGAAATGTATTGGTAACTACTTCTTGTTTCTTTCTACCATTAGTACCGATGAAATGGCTTCATCGGCCGTTGCGAGGTATATTTGTAAGGTTTCTCTCGGGAGGAGGCTCGCCATTGTTGGTAGCTGGTGAAGGGCTTCCTTTAGGCATCGGAAAGTTGCATCTGCTTCTTTCGTCAATTTGAAGTGACTCTTGTCGATACACCCTTTCAAGGTATGGAAGAGTGGTAGAGCTTTCTCTGCCAATTTCGCGATGAAACTGCCTAGCGCGGTAAGCCTCCCGTTGACTTCGTGGACTCCTTTTATGCTGTGTGGGATTTTGGAATCGAGAAATTCTTGAGTCTTGACTTGGTTTGGTTTGATCCCTTCTTTAGTTATCCGATATCCCAGGAACCGGCCTTCTTCTACTCCAAAAGTGCGTTTTCCCGAGTTGAGTTTCATCTATACTCACGCCAGGGTTTGGAGGGTCTCCTCAATGTCTTGGAGCAACATTGTTGCGCTGCGACTTTTAATTACCATGTCGTCGACATATACTTCCACATTCTTTCCGATCTGCTCTGCAAAGACTTTATCCATCAAGCGCTGGTATGTCGAACCAGCGTTTGTAAGGTCGAATGGCATTTTCTGGTAGCAGAACGTGCCTTGATCGGTGTGGAAATCCGTCTTTTCCTCGTCTTCCCGAAGCATTTGGACTTGATGATAGCCTTTGTAGGTGTCAAGAAAACATTTGAGTTAAAAGCTTTCCAGAGATTCGACCTTTTGGTTTATTTCCGGGAGGGGATAATGGTCTTTTGGGCATGCATTATTCAGGTCGGAATAGTCGATGCACATTCGCCACGAGCCGTCGTGTTTCTTTACCATTACCGGGTTTGCGATCCATATAGGGAACATTGCTTCTTGAAGGATGCCTGCGTTTACGAGCTTCGAGACCTCTTCAGTGATTGCCTTGTTTCCATCACTTGTTTGTCCCCTCCTTTTTTGCTTTATCGGAGCGCTACCCGGGATGATGTTTAGGTTGTGTTCAATGATTGTTCGGTCTACTCCAGTCATGTCTACAGGTTGCCATGTGAATACCCCGGCGAAGCATGTTAGCCGCACGACTAGTTGAACTTTGGTCTCCGCCAGTATGTCACCTCTAATGTTTATTGCCTGTTCACGGTGCTCACTGTGTATTACATGCTTTTCTAGTGGGTGGTCTTCTTTAGATTTCTTAAGGGCGCTGATCAGGTCGAGCGCTGTCATTATTTGGTGACACGTCCGCCTGTGCGGGGTATCGGCGACAATCGTAGCTGAGCCGAGCCATGTGCCAAATTTTAGTGTGCCATGAATTTTATACGGCACGGCTTGCAGATCGAAGAGTGACGGGCGCCCTAACAGTATGTTTTGTTATGTTGGGTGGCGTATTACAGAGAATTCAATTGTTCATGTCCTACTCTTTCTTCCGTCGTGGCTGACTAAAATTAATGGGATATGTATTGTTCCAAGGGGCCATAGGTTGTGTCCCGTGACGCCGACCAGAGATCCACCTGTCGGGGGCTTTAATTCTGCTTTCCAGGACTCCGGTAATTGCCGGAAACAATGTTCGTACAGCGCGTTGACGCTGTGGTTTCAGGTCTTTGGTGGAGAAGTTGATGTTGTTGATCTATCGGGTCAGCGCTTTGACGCTGTGGTTTGCCTCGTGTCGCTCACGTTTCGTGTATGGTCTGTTGATCGTAAACACTCCGTGTCGGCGATGCTGTTTTCTAATGTCGGCTTTTGTTGACCATAAAGGTGGTCAGCGAGGATCATATACTTGTCGCAAATTCTATGACGGCGCTGGTCGGCCGAACGCTTGGCGCTAGACAGCCAATTCTGCTGGCTGGCGGCGTTTCCTTGTGGAACCGATGCTATCATTTTGTGGTGCTACGGGCTTTGTTTTTTTTGTCATAGACACGTATTGTTGTTTATCGGGTTGTGCCGTATTGGGTGCATGTTCGGATGACGCCAACTGTTGTAATAGGTCTTCGGCTTAACTCCGTCTTTTTGATGGATGGGATGGAGTGCCAAAGTATCACAGCAAAGGAAACAAGCCCATCAGTCCTCGTCTGGGAGGTAGTCCCGGATCGAAGCTCCGACGACCAAGTTAGTCAATTTCTTAGAGAGAAGGTGAAGGTTTTATGAAAGGGCTAGAAGATTTTCTTTTTCGGTCCCTTCTCTTGGA